CCCCAAAACCCCAAAACCCCATCCATCAATAATAGTTGCTAATATTAAACTTATGCTGAAAATTTGAAGATAATAGATATTTATGGGGTTATAATAGAAGAAGTATTATAAATAAAAAGTAGACAATGGATGTATTTTAATTTTTAGTATGAGTTATCTCACAAAACAAATGAGACTATTCATTGTAACTTTTACTTTAATCATCTGAATCTTTTGAGAGGTAGAGTTTTTAGTACTCTCATCCTTATCGAAATCCATGCGTAAAGAGTCACAGACAGCATCTTTTTAAAGAGAAGGATATCACTCGGACACTGTAAGAGACCATCCAGGGACCTCCACTTATCCCAATAATGATTGCAATTACTTAAAAATTGAGATTATAGAGTTGTCCCCAGTTACTCCAATGTGTCTAAGACATCACCGCCCCAAAGATATCGTCCATTAAATAACATGGTATTCTTGAGAGTAGCCCTCCCTTTGCTCAGATGATTAAGTGCCCTTAATCTGTGATTTACATTCCTAATCAAACAGATTAAAGGAGGTAGAATGGAAATTTTTGCACAAACTACCTTCAATACTCAGCAGAAAATGCTCACTGCCTTGCCCCATTACTGCTTTGACCTTAAGAGGATTTCTTACCTCTTTTGTAGCTAGCTCTATTTGACTTTGGCAATTCCTTTGTTTAGGACTTTGATGATTGAGTTTGATTCCCACTTGCAGCAGTAGAAGTTTAAGTACTGCTCTTCTCTTAGGAGTTGGATTTTTAAGGAGATTTTTCAACTCTTTCATTGCTGCTATTTTCTTAGGTTGAACCACTCTTAAGTCTTTGCCTAAGAGAGGTAATCCAATCAATTGAAATATTTGGCTTCATTTTTCTCTTTCCCTGATGATTCTTGATTTAACTTTCAAGTCTTAACCTGAATTCTTCGATTTATTTTTCAACTTCTTGCTCGCTTAAGTCAAAGTCTTCATCTTAGAAAAACCTACTACTATTACTTGTTTGATTGCCAAGATTTATCTGAGTATCATAGGCATCGAGGCCTGTTACATATGCAAATGCCATAGCACATATCTCTTCGTGAATGTATTGTCCCTTTTCATTGACATATCCATTGCATTAGTTACAAATACTCTTTTCTGAGAAAATATATTCCTAGGCTGCTATTTAATTGATGTTGAAATCAAACCTTGCTGCTGCATTATTTCCACTGATTTGCTTTTAAATCTAATAATTATGCATCACTCTTGCTTTTTACAGCTAGTTTAGTTGCTCAATGCTTAATTATTAAAGCTCCTACATAGCCTTTTTATTAGACTTGTTTAGACTTTTATTAATATTGCCTCCTGATCCAATAGATATATTAGCATTGTTATTGTTTTGCTAGTTTTGGTCATTTACATTTTCGATGTACTGGCACCATTCATCAACATTCATGTGATTAATTTCAGCTGAGGTAAGTTTAACCTCTTTGTTTTTCTTCTTTTTGTTTCTTTTCTTTTTTCCATAAATCTCCTGGCCTTAAGCATTAAATTGAAGCTGCTACTGCTATAGTTGCTATTGAAATTAAGGACTTTAGCTGTTACTATTGTTTTGTAGATTCTAAAGCTGCTATTACTTTTGAATCTGTTGTTACTTCTATTATTAGTAGTTTGCATATTGCCATTACTGTTGTTGAGTCAGTTACTATTGCTATTATTGGGCTAGCTATTTTTGAGCAGCCTACATATTAGGTGTAAAAGTTTACTACTACTAGTATTGAAGGTTTTATTGAAATTGCTTGATTTATTCGGGAGTAAAATTTTATTATTGAAGTTGCTGTTGAAGTTAGTAAGAAGCATATTGCTATTGATCATGCTGCTGCTGCTATTACTGTTATTATTGCTAGAGCCTATTCATGTTAGGCTATTGATTTTATTATTGATTCTAAAACACAAATTATTGACTTAATGCAAGTGCTGCCTGAGCCTTCTTCTAGCGATCTCTCTTCTTCTTTCTCTTTGACTTTGAGTCTGAGTTTTGATTTGTTGTCTACTCCTTTTCAAAGAGCTTTTCATATTCTTGCAGAGCATGCTTTCTCAGATCTCTCATATATTAGTCTATACTCACAGTCTTTGTGGTATCTTGTTCTACCTAGCTCATAAAGGTCTAAATCACTTTGAAGAAATCTGGATATTTCTCCTAAATAATGGCTTCATCTCTCTTGAATTACTTTTTTATGTGAGCGAAGAAATGCTTGAAATGCTGCTGATCATTTAGAATTAGCTTATTAATGATAGCTTTATGCAGCTCATCACTTGGGAATTCATAAGAATTGCCCTCAATTATAACTGATGTCATGTTAGTAAATTATTTAGACACAACTTTTGCGCAGTCCTTCATTATGAATATGTACTTACTTTAGATCTCTTGAAGGAACTTCATGTAGGCTTCAATGTTCTTGACTAGAGGTTTGAATTTAATCTGCACTTCTAAAATATCCTCATGCTGCTGTGGTTTTTATTTGCATATTTGCGGATTGTTTGTAGTAGTTATTAGTAATCCACTATCAGCCGAACTGCTTCTCTATAAATTCATTTTAATTACTTTTTCTTGCCATAGTTTTAAATCATTCTTTGCCATTTTCTTTATTTGCAGGGCGATTTAGCCAATGCAGTCTATTATTTTCTCTAAGAAAACTTGCAGAACTGAGTGAGGACCAACATATTTCTTGCATAATTCTTTCGACTATTGAACTAAGTTTTCGTATTTGGTCTGCTATCTTGATTTATCAGTTTAAGCATTTTCTAGCAACTGGGCATTAGTTGCATTTATTTGAGTCGTCTAAACCAAATTGGAAGTTACAAGGGGTTATGGTGTTTATTGAAGCAAGTTATACACGTAGTTCATGATGTAAGTAATATTGTTATTGAACTCTTTTGAAATTCTTTGGAATTTTTAGGACAATTTATTTGGTAATGGCAGAGAACATCTTGCAAGGAAATTTTAGAAATCATCTTAGCATATATCAGTATTCAAAATAATCTTGGTTCTGATGTTCTAATTCGCCATATTCCCATTCATTTGAACAGATCTTAAATCATTATGATCCATTTAAACATTTTAATAGAGTTGCTGTTATACTTATTGGCTTTATATCTAAGGATCAAGTTCATCGTCAGTATCAGTGCCATAATAGATATTTGGGAGATTTTTCTGACCAATAGAACTTTGGTCTTGAGTGTCCATTTCGCAGCTATCAATATTATCTTAGCAATCTTCATCATAGTCTCCATCTTCCTCTTCATCCTATTGCCCATCGTAGTCATCATTATCTATATAATTCTCTTCAGTCTCCTGGTTATAATCATCTTCATCTTCATAGTTGCCTTCATCATCCTCGTCCATTCCATCATCTTCATCTTCGCAATTCTCTAAATATCCACCCGAGCCTCCATTATTGAGATGATATGCACCACTGCTCTAGATATATTTCTCGATTGTTTCGGGAAGATTATCGAAACTATCCAGACTCAAATTTGGGTCAACATTTGTAATGCCAATTTTGCTCATAAGATCTCAGAGGGCTTTTGGGTCTTTCAAGTTAAAATTTCCCACGCTTTAGTTTAGCTCAGCTATCCTTCTTAAATCTTGCTCAGATATTTCATTCATTCTAATCTTATTTTCTTCGCTAAGTTTTTATTATTTTTGCTGAGGTAAATTTCCCAGTGCAGGGTGGTGTTGTCCTTACTTACGCTAGTACTCCTCGAATTGATTGTTCTTCATTTTTTCCTTCAAGTTTTCCAAATTGTTCCCTACTTGGTTGACTAAAACATAAATTATGAGGACTATTTGAATGTTACACGTATTATATTAAGAGGTGTCGAACTGAGGAATGAATTTAGTTTAAGTTTTCTGAGGCTAATGCGGGATGTATTACTATTGAATCTGATTTTAGTACGCCATCTATTAGCTTTATTAAATATTTATAAATTGATAATTTCACTAAATCAATATATCTTTTTTAATAGAGCTTTTAACTTGAGGTACGGGGTTTTGGGGTTTTGGGGTTTTGGGG